TCCATTTGGGTGTCCTGCCATCATCTCAAGCTAACTGTGTATAAAGTTGTCCTGTCTCCCCCTCCCTGTCTTCCCCCCCCCCCTTGTCTTCCTCCTCCCAATTTCCATTTTTCTGTCCATGGCATCAGCATTCTCATCCACCCAAACCCAAAATCTGAGTCATGCCTTATGCCTCCTACCCAATTTTCCCTTCCCAAACGCAAATCGCAAATCGTGCCAACCTCTTTTGCAACATCCCTTGCAGTTCTTTGTCCTTCCTGGGGTAGCTGCTAATCCAGGGTCTCTCAGCACCCCATGTCTTGAATAGTCAGTAGCTTCCCACTATGTCTTCCTGCCTGAGATGATCCCCCCACCCCGCACACACCAGATCTCCTAGTCTCCCTTTCATACCTGACCAGACAGATTTTCCAGGATGATTCCTTTTATCTTTTCAATCCAGGTCCCCAAACCTTCATTCATATCATCATAGATATAGTCAGAGTTCCTTAGCCTCAGGCTCAAGAGCCTCTTTTTTGGCCACAGCCTACCTCACTGGAGTTATTCCATGTGTTTTTTAAGAGTGCAAGCCCACATGCTGTGTGGCCTTGGACAAGGATTTAATTCTTTTCCTCTTTAAAATCACTTATAAGGAATTGTATAGTCATTTCTTGGGTGGCTATGAGGATGAAATGCAGTACACAGTGCTGGTCCTCATAGAGGACCCCTCATCCTGGCCACACACCCCAACCCCTCTGGGTTGCCTTTGTCCAGCTGTCTCCTCCAGCTGGAATGCCATCCTCTGCCTTCCTACTCTTCCTCACCCTTCAAGGACTGGCTGCTTCTCTTTTCCTTCTGAGGAGATGCTCTGCTTAGTATTTCTGCAGTGTTTCTCAGACTGAGTAAGGCTGTGGCAGGTGTGACCAGAGCATCTGAAGCCAGTCCTAGGCCACACACGCTCATTTCCCTGGAGGATTCATTGTACTTGGTAATAAAGAATTTCATCTATTTATGTTAAAACAACTGCTCCAGACATTATCCCAGAGAGGAATGCAAAACTGGCAGATTGTAAAGATAAGACATAGAACTGCTAAGAACATTCAGAGTGGAGCATCTACATCCAACCTGCAGGGGGTAGGTCCCACAGCAGGGATGCCGCTGGTAAAGGGCTGCATGCAGGTGAGGTGAGGGAGGAGTAATACCAGTACCCAGGCTCCTGCTGGAGGGCCATCCCATGCTGCTCTCTGCTTCCGAGCAATCCAGACAGCGTGGTGTCTGTAGCTTTCCTAGGCTGCCTGGGGCAGTGCTTGTACTACATGGGATTTTAACTTTCCCCATATGTAGGCCTTATCTTGTCAACACCATCCTAAGCATCTGGAGCGCAGGTGTGGGGCAAATGGGTGGGAAGACAGGCTGGCTGTGAATTCTGCCCTGGTGTTTATTGATTAAGCAAGGCACATTTCCTCTCAGCCTCAGTTTCCTTATCTGTAAAACACAGATAATACATGACGAAGACTCAACTAGGTAACATTCTAGGTGTGTTCAGCACAGCAGATGGTGGAGACAAGCGCTTAGCAAACATTCCTCCCTGCAATGCCAGGCTGCCAGTAAACATCTGCTTCTCTGATATTTCACCTCCCAAATCTCCCCCACCTCATCCACTTCCCTGAAGGCCACCCTCCTCCTCATGTACTACTAGTTCCTGGCCCTCCTGACCTTCATGAAGACCTCATACAATTATGCCCTGTATCCTGCAGCATCTCCTCCCCTCCTTGTTGGACCATTGTCTTCGTGGTGCGATTGTGCTGCAGTATCACTTCATCTAAAACAAAAGGCAAAAAAACAAGCACAAATCCCCCACTTGATCCCATACTCTCTCTAGTTACCACTCCAGGTCTCTATTCCTGTACAATAAAAAGCCCTTGAAAGAATATTGGCATTGGCACACTCCCTGCTTCTACTTAAGCTGCCACTCCACAAAACTGCTGTCATCAAAGTCTCCATGCCCTCTGCATGGCCAGACCCAACAGGCTGCACTTTATCAGCCTCTCCGGCCCAGGCCTGCCAGCCCTCCTCTGCTGATCTGGCCTCACCAGCTGCTCCTACCTCCGTCTCCTTGGCCCCTGAGCATAGGAGGTTGCAGGACTGTCCTTGGACCTCTTCTCATCTCCATCTACTCTCACTTAGGAAACCCTATGCATTCTTTGGCTTTAAATGCCATCTGAAAGATCCCCAAAGTAATATCTCAAATACAGATTTCCCCAGAATGTCAGACTTAAAGTACTCTCTGCCTGTACCCATCTCCATTGGGATGTGTCGCAGACACTTCAAATCCAACATGTCTAAAAGTGAACTGTTGATTCCCCACCCTTTTCCACATCCTTCCCATCTTACTAATGGGAACTCTGTTCTTCCATTCACCTACTCCAAAACCTGGGCAGTTATCCTTGGTTCCTGTCCTTCAAGATCAGCAAGTCAAGATCAGTAAGCCCTGTCAGTTCTCCCTTCAAAATGCAGAATCTGGCCACTTCTTACCAGCTCTACCTCCCTACCCTGGTCAGATCACTGACACCTCTCACCAGGCTGACTCCAGCAGCCTCCTGAATGTCTTGGTACTGGTCTTCTTCCAGCTCTACTGTCTGTTCTCCACCCACAGCTGCAGTCATAAGTTCAGTGATTTCATTGCTTAAACCCCTCCAGTGATCTCCCCCTCACTCAGAATAAAATCCAGATTTCTCTTCATGGCCTGCAAGGATTCATGGGACTGTCCTGTCATCTGTCTGGCCTCATTCCTCATTCCCCTCCCTTCAGCGCAGGAGATACCAGCATTCATAATATTCCTTGAACAAAACTGGAAATGCTCCTGCCATGGGAACTTTCTACTTCTTGTTCTGGAACACTAACACAGCTACCAGACTTGTCTCTTACTACCACTAGCTCTCTCAAATGCCACCTTGCCAGAGACCTTTGCTGCTCAACCCCTCCAAATAGCTCCCCTGGCATTCTGGCCCCCCACCCCACCCTAAATTGCTTACCACCATCATAATTAATTTCCACATTTGTTTTGTCTGTCTCCTTAGCATCAGTAACATCCACAGGGACCTTTGGTGCCTGGCACATAGTAAGGGCTTAGCATCTGGGCAGGGTGTTGCGGGAGGTGTCGATTCCTGCGACTAAAGCACTTCAGGATCACTTCAGGGGAACACAAGAGACAGAAATACCTTTTTCTTTGGGGGTGCTATGACAGCTCCTCTGACCTTAAGGGTCCAAAGAAAGAGAGCTTGCACATGTGCACATGCTGACCCCTTTTATTGAGAAGAAGCCATTCAAATGAGGTAAGGGGTCAGGTTTCAAGGGGCTGAGTCTAGCTTCATGATGTCTGCTATCAGCAGGTTGACTGACATCTAGGAAGGCCACACCCAAGAGTAAGAGAAGGGGACATACAAAGGGCGTTTCCACGGAACATTCTATCCCAAACAGGACAAGGGGTAATATCACAAAGGAACAGGTGAGTGTAGCTAAATCCCTGGGGATGTAGGAAGGCACACTCATGCACGAAGACACATTTGCGTTTTCTCTGCCCTCAAGATCGGGGCTACCGTCTTCAGTTACTTAAGCAACCAGAGCAGGGGGTGACTGACAGGGCCACACCAATCAGGAGGGGAAGCAAACCTGGGTTACATGCTATGTCGGCCTCCCACAGCAGGGGACATGGTGTGAATTGGAAGAGTCTGTTGCATGTGGTCCCTGGTCTCTACACCATTTACCTGCTGAGTGCTTTTGGGCACCTGAGCCACATCCCCAACCCTTTTTTTGTACTTTTTTAAAATTTAGAGACTGGATCTCACTGAGTTGCTTAGCACCTCACTTTTGCTGCGGCTGGCTTTGAACTCACGATTCTCCTGCCTCAGCCTCCCAAGCCGCTGGGATTACAGGCATGTGCCATTGCACCCAACTCTGAACCTTTTTGAGTTTCAGATCCCCTCTCTGTAAAAATCTGGAAGATTTTTTAGGAAAATTAAAGATAATACATTTAGGGCTGGGGATGTGGCTCAAGCGGTAGTGCGCTTGCCTGGCATGCGTGCGGCCCAGGTTCGATCCTCAGCACCACATACAAAGATGTTGTGTCCACCAAAAAACTAAAAAATAAATAAGTATTAAAATTCTCTCTCTCTCTCTCTCTCTCTCTCTCTCTCTCTAAGGAAAAAAATGATCTCTTGTTCTATCCATAAAAAAAAAAAAGATAATACATTTAAATTACCTGAGACATTGTCCATGTTCCATAACATGGACGTTAAAAAGGCTCTTAGTTGGGGCTGGGGTTGTGGCTCAGTGGTATAGCACTTGCCTAGCATGTGTGAGGCCCTGGGTTCAATCCTTAGCACCACATAAAAATAAACAAATGAAATAAAGGCATTGTGTCCATCTACAACTTAAAAAAAAAGGCTCTTAGTCTCTCAAGGCCTGTTTCCAAGGAGTGAATATGCCATCTCTGTCCACACCGGGATGGTGACGTGAAAGTAATGCCATATGAGAGTTTACTGATTCCCTTTTCCATGTCGTGCCCTGACCCAGAGTCCCCTAAGCATTGTTCCTAGCTCCAATCAGTTCCCTCCCAAAGCCTCTCAGATGGTCATGTCCTGCAAGTTGAGACTTGTCCCAGCCCTGCTTTGGATCTAGATAGCCCCCAGATACAGGAAGAAGAGATGCTTTCTGGGCATATGTAGATCTCTCTGGACCTTATGATCCATGGTTGCATGGATCCTACTCTGGTCAAGTGCCCATGTTTGCATGGTGGTCAACACTGGCAGAGTAGGTGTTCAGCAAGCACTTCTGGCAAGTTTTCCCTGGCTATTTAGAGGTGACTGTAGAGAGTTGTTTTCCTGTGTACCAGCAGGGGGCACTAGAGGTTGCTCAGCTCTTGTGGAGGTTCTGAGTCTGTCAGGAAAAGGAAAGGTGCCGGCTGTCCTGCCTAACTAGCAGGGGACTGCCATCTAAAGCAAGGCCACACTGGGGACTAGTGGTTAGAATTCAGACTCATTATTCTTTATTATAAGCATTGGTGAACCCCTTGCCCTGTGAGCTCAACCAGTTCCTGCTCTGAGCTTCCAGCCTGCAATGGGAGTCCATCTTCACCTCCTGCTTCATCCACCTGTACCTGGCTGTGCACAAGACTGTGCAATGCCTTAGTTTAGGAAGAGTACGGCAGGCATTGTAAGGCCATGGCCAGGTCCTTGTCCCCAGAGGCCACTTTACATCTAGGAGGTGCTCTGCTTCAGCTGTGTAGGTTCTCACAGGGGGCTATAGGCACCTATTGGTTAGAGGTGCTGAGCCATGGAGACCTCCAGACTTGCTTGGCCTGACAAATGTTCTTCTACAGCAGGGCTGGGCTCAGCAGCAGCAACTGATTGTTACTTCTCTTCTGAAGTTCTCAGCTAGCAGGAGTGCCAAGGACAGGAGGGCCTAGATAGTACCTCAAAGGGGATAGAGATGCCAGAGGCTGTGGAAGACAGGGTGGGAGGGAGGGGGGGAGTCAGTTAAGTCCCTTAATGTGACTTCACCAGCTTGGTCATTGTTTTTAGTTCCTTTGTACTAAATAGATTGTTCTTTGGACCTGGGTGCCTCCTACCCACCCCTTGCCATTAGCTCATAGGGATTAGAATATTAAAGTAACCTGTCTTCCTGAGCCAGGCACCTTGGAGACCCTTTTTGCCTGCTCAGCAAGTACCCCCAAGCCCACATCCATTTCTCCCTCAGGTCAGGGGAGAAAAGGCCTGGAGAAGGCCCTGCCTCCCCTGAAAGCCCTCTTGGCCTATCCTAACCTGCACTGGAAGCGGGGGTCTCCTGGGTGGGTCTTCAGCACCTCACGCACTGCTGGGGGAGGCTCCAAGCCCATCTGCTCTGCCCGAAGCCAGCGCTGCAGCCGTGTGATCCCTGCCAGGGTGGGAAGAAGACTCAGGGGACTCAAGGGGGTAAGAAGAGTCCAGGCTAGAGAACACACTGTGTAGGGTTTGTCTTGAGCCTGTGCGCCCTCTCACACACACCATTCTCAGGAGACAGTGTCCAAGAAGCAGGCAGATACTTGTATTATTTCCCAGACCTGGGTGACAGGACCAGCTCCAAGATGCGCTCTGTGGGCTGGGATGGGTGGCGAGTGCGACTCTCACCTGTGCAGGGCCCATACTGCCAGGCCAAGTCAAACTGCCTCAGTAGCTCCAGCTCCGCTGCCTCCTCGCTGGGGGACTGGGACTCCTCCCCTGCAACGACAGGCTGCTCCTCAGGCCTGCCCAGGCCTTTGTCCTGCCCCTGGCCTTACAGCTGTACCACTGTTCCTGGCTCTGTCCCCACCCTCTTAACTCGGCCATCCCGCGGCCAGACCTTGGGTCGGACGGAAGTAGAGAACGGGCTAGCTTCCCCTTCAGTCTGTCCCCCGCCCACAGTCCTCTAGGGTCCCTACATGTCCACTCCTCCAGTCCCCCACACCTCAGAGACCTAGTTCTGGTGCCAGCTCCCCCTTGCTGTGCCCAGCGGGCCCCTCCTTCCTCTTCACAACAGGGTAGGAGTCAGTGATGAGCCGCTTCCGGCCCATGGCGGCCACCCAGGCAGGCGGAGAAGGAGGCGACTGCAGGGAAGAAGAGATGGGCCAGCGGGCGCGCAAGAGACAGCTGCTGAGAGTGTGAGAGAGATGGGGCCAGAGAGAGATGGGCCAGCGACGGGCAGACAAGATGACCCAGACAAGCAGAGAGAGGAAGTCGCCCGATTCCAGAGAGTGACGCCTGTACCCCACCCCCACAAGCTTGCAAACATCAGAGATCCAAGCCAATGGTAGGCCGCCTCTTTGGGGCGGGGTCCTGGCTCTAGCCAATGGCAGGCTGCACAGGGCCAGGGGCGGGCCAGCTGGTGCAGCTGTGTTCTGCCGGAGGTGGGGTTAGGCCAGGGTGGGGGACCTGTCAAGATGCCCCAGACTTCACCACCTCCTCCTGCCCCCCATTGGTCTACATGGTCCCCAGGGACATACGGAGCGTTATCCTCAGCCTTTCACTTCCCGTTTTTCCTTCCTAGGCAAATGTTCTTTTCAGCCTCATTAATCCCCGTGGCCGGTTTTTAACTCCCTTGAGCCCAGCTGGAACCTTCACTCTGGCCCCGGGGCCACTGAGTGCTGGGCAGACCGGAGGTCCAGAGAGAGCTAATCCAGCCCCCTTCTCGGCTTCCACCCCACCCTCATCTCGCCCATTGCCTGGCTGGAGAAGACCATGGGTCCCAAAGTCTTTCTCAGAGTTTGCACCCAAAGATACTGCCTGCTTCTAGCCAGGCGACTGACTTGCCAGCTCTCCTGGGTTCCCACAGTCTGCCCTGCCTGCCTTACTAGTCAGGAAGATTCCATACCAAACAAAGGACCACAGCAGGGATCTAGTCCCCTCTCATGTGTTTGGATCCTCAGTTCACTGGCAAAATCCGCCCTATTTCTCACAACAATGTGCATGTGAACAGAAAATAAGAGCAATGACCTAACTCTCATATTGCATTTACCATGCATCAAGTACTGTTCTAAGCAAATCTCCATGTATTAACTGAAAATAGGTGTCAATTTTTGTGTGTGTGTGTGTGTGTGTGTGGTACTGGGGATTTTATTTATTTATTTATTGGGTACTAGGGATTGAAGCCAAGGTCTCACTAAGTTGCTGAGGCTGCCCTTGAACTTGGGATCCTACTGATTCAGCCTTCTGAGTCTCTCTGATACTACAGGCATGAGCCACCACACCCAGCTTCAAAATATTTTTTGAAAGTAGGAATTATGATCACTGTTGTTAGTAACAGGTATTGTGGGCCTCAATCAAACTACTGGCCCTCCCTACACTCCAGGAGCTTACAGGCTTGCAGGAGGGAAGGGATGTACAGCTGTCAATGCGACACAGTAATTCTCAACAGGAGAGAGGGGGAGGGCGTGTCAGAGCTGTTAGGACCATAGGGATAAATAGTTTTGGAAGGCCTCCTGGAGGAGGTGGGCTGTTGTAAACAGTGTCTCAGTTCTCCACCCATGACCTTTGTCTCTTGGTCTCCTGTCTGCTGACTCACAGCTACTCCCACCTCCCCCTCACCAACTTCCTGGCAACAGGCAAAAATGCTGGCCAGTGGGAGTCTGGGAACCAGCACTGGGACTGGTCCAGCACTAATCACCCTCTGGAGATCCCATCCGGTTCTTGCTTCCAGTGGTCAAGGGCTGATGCTTGCTCAGAGTCCTCTGCCTTCCTCCTTCCTAGTGCTCTGGGAACTGGGTTAAAAGGCCGGCTGGGCCTCCACTACACATGGGACAGAGATAATGTTCTGAGAGGAGACCACCAGAAGAGGGGAGGAGGAGCAGGACATGCCTTCAAGGGGTTCTTCCTGCCTGGCTGTCTTCCTCGAAGAGAGCTGAGGAAGAAGGGACTGGGTGCACGGGGCAGAACTAGAGGGCCCTTCCTTGCCATGTTTGGGCTGGGCCAGGTCTAGTCCCTGACCTGCTTCATGGACTAAGTGGGTCCCACATCCAGGGCAGGGGCCCAGCTGCGGTGTGGAGAGCAGCAGGGAGGCCCAGGCTGGGAAGGGCATAGATATAGGGTCTAATCCAGAGGGATGACACCCAGGCTCTGGGACTAACAACCCCCTAGGCTGGAGGGCCTCTCAGCAAGGGGCTCCTGGGCTGTTCCCAGAGATGTGTGGCTCCCACCTCCTGAGTTCACAAAGCCCTAAGGGAATAGGGTGCCATGGGTGGGGCGGACCCCTCCTCATTCCTGGTCCCTCCCACCCCTGAAAGCTGATAGCCGTGGGGCCTGCCACCGCCCAGGGAGCGTGAAATGGGGTGTGCCGCTGGGCGGCCACAGCAGCTCCCACTGCTGCCTGGGCCTATTCCCTTCTCTCCTTTGGCAGCCTCTGGCATCCTGACCTGCTCTATGGATACTCAGCTGTCCTGCCTACTGTCTCCAGCTCTGCCTGGCTCAGGCCTGGCTGTCCTCTGCCACCTGGCCTGGAATGTCTCCCATGATCTTCAGCACCCCAGGCCCCAGAAGGAGAAAGTAGAGTGGTCAGCCCAACTGTAGGACCCTTGGACTGGTCTTCTGGCCTATGGATGAGGAAACTGTCCCCCAAGCAGCATGCCCTCCCCTCCTAGTCAGATGGCAGTGGGACTGAGTCCTAAGGCAGGCATTGGCATTCAGAGAATTTAGAACTACCTTCTGACCCAATGGCATCCTTCCCCCACTGACTAAGATGTGCTACCTGCCCAGCTTTAGGTCATTTCCTCCTTTATTCTCCAACCCCATCTTCCTCCTGTCCCATCTTCCCTAGAACCCCTGCCCCTACTCAGGCAGCTTCCTGGGCCTATCCCCAAACTCCTGTCCTTGCCTGTTAAAATTCAGTCCTCATGCTGATGGCCAGGTCAGGGGTCTGAAGAGGGAGGTGCTAAGTTCTCCTTTGGTGAATGTCCTGAGGCCCTAGCACAGGTTCCCCGTGATAGCCCTGACACCCAGAGGCTAGTGATGGGACTAGTAAGAGTTATCTTTGCATCTTGGGAACACTGAAGGCCCTTGCTTCAGGGCCAAGACCAAAGTCCTGGGGAGCCTAGGAGAGCAAGGAATTGGGAATTGGGAGGGAAGACCAGTGCCTTCCAGAGGGCCAAGGCTCACTACTGACCACTTCAGGAGAGGGGGATTAGGACTGGTTTAGCTCAGACCATGTGGCAGGATGGTGGGCCTCAGTGCTGCACTAATGTCCATGCCAGAGAGCCCCTTCCCTGGGTCACAGTGGGGCTTGAGAAGAGAGCCAGGTAATGGGGGTGGAGGGAGGAGAGTAGCTGCCTGGAGCTCAGTGCGGTGTGGAGTATTGATCAGTTTTCCCTTCTCCCAGCACTCCCCTTCCTCAGGCCCTCAGGCCCTGCCAGCCACCCTGAAGTGGAAATCAGGCCAGCTTAGGAGATTCTGGGCAGACAGAGGAACACCCAGAATCACATCCTGGCCCCATTCCTTACCCTGTGGGCCACATTCTTTCAGGAGCTCCTTCTAGTCCCTCACCATCCTCCCAAACACCCCTCATCTCCCTGGTCCAGGTCCTGGGACTTAGTGGTTTTAAGGGACAGATCTCAGGGGAGGAAAATGCTCATGTGGGTCTCTGATGTCTCTTCTGCATCATCCCCACCCTCCACATCTCTTCTGGTCATTTCCCCCTTTCACTTTGGTCATCCTAGCTCTGCAGAAATTCTGGGGAGATTTGAAAAGGGGCCCCTCTGGCTATTTCTCACCTTGGCCACCAGGTGTCAGACTTTGTCTAGCTGGGAAGATGGTCCTAATTAATGGGTCCAATCCCCCCCCCCCCAATCAGCCAGGACTTGGAGGTTGGGGAGGAACCTGGAAGTGACCTCTGAACTAGCTAGGCTGAGGACTGGAACTCTGGCTCAAAATCTTGCTCACAGTTAATTTCTCATTGCCTCTTCTGCCACCCCATGGACAAGGGCTTTGTCCCCTGCCTGGAAATCCAGGTACCAGATGAGTCAGGGAGCCTAAGAATTTAAGGGACATTTTGTGGTTCCAGAGGAGAAGCGGGTGCTGAAAGAATAGGGCCCCCAACCAGGCTTGAGTCACTTCTCCTTGCACTCTAGGCTAAAGGAGACCGAGAGCCTCTGTCTACACACTATGTGTTGAGTGTGTGTAAGATGGGTTATTGAATGAGCCACTTGCTTACAGAGGGGGCCCTAAGTCCTGGATGTTGGGTCAATCTGTAAAAGCAGGAAGCTGGCAAGGTCTCACGATTTGCCACCTCTCATCAAAGCCTCCTCTGTACCCACTCCTACCCTCCTGCAAGTTGCCTCCTGTCCCAAGTGACAGTTCCCCCTCTTGTGCTTATTTTTTCAGAACACAAGCACATTTCCAAGCACCGAAGATGACAATGAGCCTGGTGCAGTGGTGCACACTTATGATATCAGCCACTCTGGAAGATGAGGCAAGAGGATTGCCAAGTTCAAGGCCAGCCTTAGCATCATCAAGTTTCTATCTCAAGACAAAAAAAAAAAATATAGGCTGGGTGCTGTGGCGCATGCCTGTAATCCTAACAGCTCCAGAGACTGAAGCAGGAGGCTCACAAGTTCAAAGCCAGCTTCAGCAACTTAGTGAGACCCTAAGCAACTTAGCAAGACCTTGTCTTAAAGTAAACTATTAAAAGGGCTGGGGATGTGGCTCAGTGGTTAATTGCCCCTGGGTTTGATCCCTGGTACCAAAAAATAAATAAAAAATAGAAAAGGCTTGGGATTAGCTCAGTAGTAGAATGCCCCTGAGTTCAGCCACCCATACTGCCAAAAAAGATGACAGGTTTTTAATCCATTTATGCATTTTTAATCCATTTATCTTTCTCTCCCTAGCCTTATTGGGAATATAAGGACTTCTACAGATAGTTCCCCTGTTCCCATGACACTGCAGAGTCCAAAGTAGCCTGGATTTGTATATTGGTCTCTGGAAACCTGGGCTCAACTCTAAGGCCTTACTTAGGAAATGGAACCTGAATAACCAAAGAAAACTCATCAGCACTCCCAAAGCAGCTAAGCATAGAGAACCAATGTCACATCCTAAGAAGACACTGACAACCTATCATCTGCCATGTGCTCCTGTCCCATGATGATGACATTTTCACAAGAGGCCCTGTGGGACTGAACATGGTGCCAAAACCCAAAGGAGGGGCCCATAGCCCCTGTCGTCATGTTTAAGAGCTATTCGGGAAAGAGTTCCAAAACTCCAGTTCTGAAGTGCCCTTCTACCCCCACCCACCTGCATCCGTCCCTGTCCCCATGGAGCTCTGCATGGGCATGAGTGAACTTAGCACTCCCCACATGGCATGCATCTACTGACTGTTCCTTGCTTCTGTTTCCCTCTGCTGTCCATCCCACCTGCACTGTATGGCTCAGAGGCTCACAGCCACTCAACAGTATGGTTTTTAGCATGCGAAAGTCCCTTGCCCCTTGATTCTCTACCATCCCTGCCTTGCCAGTCCTCAGACTTGGAAACCCTCTATACTCTGTTCCCACCTCGGGCCATCTCTGTCTTAGTAGGAAGTGTTATAATTCATGCAGAATGGGCACATGACAAAGAGGTAACTGCTGAGATCACCTGGCTCTTCTTATATGGGTGCCTAGCAAGGCTTTGAACTCTCCTCTGGTTTTCTTTGATGCACTTCCCAGACCTCTCCACACTTCTCCAGTCACCACCTCCTCACTCAGCAGTGACATGTTTAGATTTCTTCTGTTTAAAAACAATCATCACAAAACAACCCTGCCTCAATCTTATCCCTTTACCACTAAACTCTGAGGGAATGTATTTACCCACTCTGTTTTCTTCGTATTCTTTTTGTCTCACCATGTGGTGTCCGCCTCTCACCTGATCTTTCCCAGGTCACTTGTGACTTCTAACTGCCAAAGCCAGTAGATCTTTCTCTACATTCTTCTCTCAGTTCCCCTGGGGCATCTGAGACCGTTCATCAGCTGTCTCCTTCAAACTCTTCTCTCAACTTCTAAAACACTCCTGAACACTCTTTAAAATCAGTTGAAATCAAATTATTAAGGATTTAGCCAGGTATGGGGGCTCCTGCCTGTGATCCTAGCAACTTGGGAGGCTGAGGCTGGAACATCACAAGTTTGAGGCCAGCATCAGCAACATGGAGAGACCCTGACTCAAAAAGAAAAGGACTGAGGATGTAGCTCAGTGGTAAAGCATCTCTGGGTACAATATCCAGTACCAAAAGAAAAGAAAAAAAATGAAATCGGCAGGATGGTAGGATGTGAGTTCTCTGGGGATGGGACACCCACCTCTCTCTCCGTCTGCCTCAAAGCCCTGACTTACTGCTTTGCACATTGCAGCTGCAGCACATTGGTTTTTCTGTATGGGGACAGAATGGCACAGATCCCCTCTTCTGTCTTTGTAGGCTGGGGACAGGGCCTGCAAGTGCCCCGGCCATGCATAGGCAGGTGTCATTGCCCGTAGAGATAGAACATGTTTCACATGCACCAGTTGGCATCCAGTAGAGGCTGGCTGGCCCACTAGCAGGTCCAGTAGCTCCTGCACCAGCATTCTGACCTCGCTTTTCTTTGGTGGCTCATGCAATTATGGGAACCTCCTCCTCTGTGTTGCGAATGAGTGCTTTTGTCCCTTACTATTTCAAGGAAGCTAAACTTTCCTTCCCAAGTAGATTGCAAGTTCTATAACAGCAGGAGCCAAGTTAGGTCTTCAAATTCTTTTGGCTTTCTTTTATCAGGACAGTGAAAGGCAGATAATTAGAGCTTTAAAAATTTGTCAGCTGATGGACATTACCAATTTCCTTGCTTAACACACTGTTTCCAGGAGGCCCTTATGAAATATCCGTGTATTACCTGGAAGCAATTAACCCATTAGTTTACCCAGTGGCTCTTAACTAAAGGGTCATGGCATAGTGACATATCTCACATAATCTAATTTCTACAATTGCTGCTGCTACAACCTTTATTCTTTGTTACCCTTTCTAACAATCTCATAAAATATTTAACTATTACCATTTTATAGATGGAGACCAGAGACAGAAAGCTTTTATTTATCTAAAGTCATTCAGCTGGCAGGCTGTGAAATGGAGTTAACATAGTTTAACCCTTGAATAGCATCTGTCCCATTTTCCCTCAGTTCAATAGAAGTTTTCTTTCCCACAATATGAGAAAGGAACAGAGTCACAGCTGAAAGTTGTGAATTGGCCATAGTCCATCACTCTCTCAAGGAGATAAAGGGTGTTGAGGTGAGGGCCCCATCAGACAGCCACTGGCAGGGGTCCTGGGGACTGAATGCCCAAGGGTGACTGGGGAGAACCCCAGAGGGGCAGATGTATAGCTGTGCTCATCAAGTGCAGGAGGGGCCAGAGGGGAGACATGCACAAAGCATGTCCAGAGGGAAAGCAGACTGGGCAAAGGCAGAAGGACAAAAAGCAAAAAGCGATAGTTCTCTAGGAGCACCAAGACACCACAGAGCTGGGAGCAGGAGGAGACAGACCCAAGTTGTGTGTCTTTGCCCTGGAGCTAGAGGGAAGAAAGTCACCTCCTCAAGCCCCACGTACCTCCACTGGGAAAAGGGGACAATGGGAGCCAGGGTAGGTGGGGCCCAGAGAGCCCACAGTGTGCCCCAGGAGGACCAGGAAAGCAAAAAGACTGAGTTCTGGGGCAAGCATTTTATTTGTTAATACAAGAATAGAAATTCTGCAATAAATATAATCTAATAAATAACATTTCCAAATAAATAAATATTAATACCACAAACTTAGAGTCATGAGTGGGTAGGGCTGGGGGGCAGGGCCTGGGGAGCTGTCCCCATTCCCTGCAATGCTACTGCAATGTAAACTTTCAGGAAACCCTGTGGCTGTGGCCGTGGCCGCCCTCCCAGCCTGGGCAACCACAGACACCCTGGGAAAGGGCAGAGAGGAGGCAACGTGATGCCGGCAGGGAAACTCGAGGCGAGGTCCTGACGTTCAGCCACCTTATGCCACTGATTACCTGGGTGACTACCCCTCTTTCGGTATTACCTCTTCTGGTTTTTAGGCCACCTCCAGTGCAGACCCCACCCCTTCCATTTTTCATTCCATCTCTTCTTGTTTAGACGTGTCGCCTTTCTGTTTCCTGAACTGAATGTGGAGTTATGGGGTGGGAGAGGCTTCACTCCAGAAAGGCACATGCTACAGTGGCCCCTACTCCTGCCTTCAAATGAGGGGCTGGAGGGCACTGGCAGGTGATGGCAGCAAGCAATAGGTGGTGAGAGCCTTTGCCCTCACTTGAGCCATTCAGCTCCCTTGAACATAACCTCCATGGAAACAGGATGGCCCCTGACACATTTCTTCTCCGGACCCATAGGACTCGCGGAGCTGGGCAGAGGTCAGGACGTACCACACCCCCACCCAAGGCCTGGAGGACCAGAGATCCCACCATCTGTCTCCTGGCTCAACAAGTGTTGGCATACAGGTTTCTCTTACCCAGAGTGGGAGCAGAGCTTGAAGGGGCAGAGGGGAAAAGAGGAGGTGGTAAGGGTCAGAGATCAGAAGCCATGGGCCTCCAGGTGCAGGGTGACTGCAGCTGCTGGAGGCTGCATCTTCTTCTTAAGCCGGTTGAAGTCCTTGGCTGAGCGCCACAGCCAGGTCTGCAGCTCCTTCAGCAGCCAGAAGTCGTCCATCTTCTGGAGGAAGTCGCTGTGGGCAGGGCCAGGGGCCCAGGTGGGCTCAGTCCCCGGCAGAGGCTGGGGCAGTGGGTAGCCCAGAGAGGCCATGACGCCTGCGATGCTGCCCAGCAGGCCCTGGAGGCTGGTACAGAAGTGGGCCAGGCTGCGGCGCAGCTCTGCTGTGGCAGCCTGACGGTTGAGGCCACGCAAGTAACACAGGAGGTGGCTGTAGGCCTCGTAGTTCTGGGTCAACCGCAATTTGTCATTGAGGCTTCGCCACACTTCCAAGTTGACAGTGGCCCTGGGCAGAGTCTCTGCCCCCAGCCGAGGTGGGTTGAAGTCAGGCTCGTTGAAGGGGGGCCCCAGGTAGTTCAGCTGTGGAAAGGAGAGGGCGATGGGGAAGGAGGCGAGCGGAGCAGGGGAGCACCGCCCCCATAGTCTCTCTCTCCTGTTCCCTGACACTGGCCCTGTCTCCATACTAGTCCTTGCTGTTCATGGGCATCCCCTAAGTTTCTTCAACGGGAATGTCATCTGCATGGAGGTAACAGCTGAAGCAGTGGGGTGATGAACTCTTCTACAAAGAGAGGTAGAAAGAGAAAACCACGCAGGCGCCACTCAGGAAGGACGTGCTGATCAGCTGAGAGGGCCGACCTCGGGAGAGTGCCACCACAGGGCAGGGAGAGAGGAAGAAGAGCCGCGAGGAGCCAGGAGGCCAGGCTGCAGAGGCAGAGTTGGCCAGGAGAGTGCAGAGGCCAAGGAGAGGAGTTCAAGAAGGCAGCAGTGTTCCGCAGAGCGGCTGCAAAACAGCAAGGAGAGAGAGCCTTAGAGAGTGCCGCTGGGTTTGGCGAGAAGAAGATGCCTGACGACCTGGAGAGAACTGTTGCCGCGGCCTGGAAGCCAGATTGCAGGGGGTTAAGGAGTGAGTGGGTGGAGAGGAAGTGGAGGCAGAGGGTGTAGACCACTCCTTCGAGAAATTTGGCAGGGGAAGCCAGGAGAGAAAAAGGGTCGGGAATTAGAGGAGGTAGCAGAGCCCAGCAAAGGTTTTCTACACAGGGAAACTGGAGAGAGCTGAGCCAAGGTTGAAGGCAGAGGGACTGCTGGCATCAGAGCTCCTCTTTGACGTTCCTGTTCCCCCCAGCCTAAGGAATAGGGGACAGAAGGGTACTCACCAGTGCCCCAAGGCAGGGTTCAGTTGCTAGGAACAGGGCTACAGAAGGAAGAAACTGAGGCAGTCTCTAGAGGGGACAGGAAAGGCATGGAAGGCAGTATAGTCTAGGGAAGAGGGCAAAGCCCTTGCCAACCCTCTGGGGAATGGCCTGGGGCCCAGGGAAGGGGATGCAGGAGATATGTAACTGGGAGGGAAAGAGAGAAGAGGGGCGAGGCCTGGGATAGGCAAGGGCCCAGGGGGAGGTTCACACGCTGACAAGCACAGAGACAAACTAATTTCCTCGGTGTATCCTGGGGCTGGAGCCAGCTCCCCCGCCACCCTCCTCCCTTTTCCTTCCCTGGCTCCAGAGTAGGGTCTGGGATGTGGAAGAGGAACACGGGAAGAGGGGGCTGGTTCCCCATGGTCCCCGGCTCCTCCAACTCTCCTTCCTTCTCTCCTGGGCTCTCTGAACACCTCTGGACCACCCCAAAGTCCTTACAGCATAATTGCCCTCCACACCCTGAACTCCCTGCCATTACTGGCCTGGGTTCTCTGCAACCCCTTTCTCCCATGATCCCCCTAGGAGGCCTGGCTAGGATGGGAGAGGCAGACAGAGGGAGGCCCATGGGTCCAGAGCAGCAGGGCCCCAGGTCTGGGGGCTGAAGAGAGTTTAAACACAGGCATGGGAGGTGGGGCCCCTCCATCCCCACCCAGCCCCGCCCGTGCAAGAGACACCACAACACGGTGTAAACAGAGGAGACTTCCCCGGCCCCCAGGGGAAGGCGGGCAGCTGGGCTGGCAGCCAGTGGGGCAATGGGCCAAGGCGGGTGCAAGGCCTGCCCACATGCCTAGTCCTGGGGCCAGGGATGGGGAGGGGGGGCACCTAAGAGGGAAGGGCAGGAGATAGGCCAACTAGGGAGACTGCTTGGAGCCAAAGGGCCCCTCCTCATCACCCCGTCACTCAACAGGACCCCGCCACTATCAGCTCTCTTCCCCCAACTCCTCTGCTCACTCCTCGCCCAATTGCCCAGACTCCTAAGCTGGATACTCACGTAGGTCCCAGCCAAGGTGCGGAGTTGGTGCTCCAGATAGCGGGTGAGGTCATAAGTTTTCTGGATGGAGGGGCCGGGCCCTGGGTCTCCTGTGCGATTGAGAGCTGGCACTGCAGGGAGGTGCCAGAGCACCGTGCACAGGCAAGCTAACATCCCCCACGAGTCCCCTGTGGACAGGATGGGCAAGAAGCATGAGGGTGGGCCAAGCCCAAGTGTGGAGGCAGCTGGCAGTCCCTCAGGTGTCTATCCCCACCCTAGGCTGGGAGCAGGATTGAAGTGAGACACCAGATGGGATGAAGGATGGGCAAGGGACGTGTACGTGAGGACAAGTACTTGGCATTTGCACGTCTATCAGTAGATATTTGAGAGTATATCTGTATCAGCTGAGGAAGTCTTAGGCAGTGTGTGACTGTGTGCATGCCAACGTGTGTGTATGTGCGTGGTGGGCTGGACCAAGCTTAGGTGCTCCAGGCCAGTGTGCTAGGGTTCCAGTTGCACCTTATCCTCCTCTCCGAGTCCCCTGGTCCCCTTGCAGCTTGAAGGGAACTGAGGGGTGGCAAATGGCACATGTCAGCACTGCAAGCCATCGTCAGCCAGGCCTGCTAGAAGAGTGAGAAGGCAGAGGTAGGGTGACACCACCATGGTCAGGCTGAAGGACACAAGGCTGACTTAATGCAGTCAGTGGTGGGTGTATTAGGATATGGTTCCTGGGTGTGGGGTGTTAGGATGAAGTTAAATTGAGGGAGATTTAGCATCCATCCCCTTTAGGACAAGTGGCAGTGTGGGGGTCTGCCCATTCTTGTCTAGGGTGTTGGAGGTGGAACACAAAGGGGAGAGGTATGTATTTGATGAGTGGGGTTGTCAGCTGAAGATGCTAGAAGTTTAGAATGCCAGTCCAGAGGCCTGGGATCTGTACTGTGAAGAGGGCTGGTCGCTTTTGGGAAAACTTGATTTTCCAAGCTTTTAGGTGAGGTCCAAGCTCAGGACTCAGTGTGCATCTGAGCTAGGACGGGGGCGGAATATAATTGGTTTGGGCTGGAGTAGGTTTAAAGACTAGGTTACTTTTAATGCTTCAGATTAGTTTAGACTTGGGATTTGGTTGATTGAGTGTGGTTGAGGTTTGAGTCCAGCAGTGGGATGTGGTTAGGTTTGGGCAGGCAGATGGTTAGCTGGGGCTAAGGTTTATGAATTTGTTGATTTAGATGTCAGATGGGGCAACACTTGGCATGTCACAAAGGGTAGGTCTCGTTTGGGTTTTAAGCTTGGATAGGTATGAGGTCAAGTTGTTTCTTTTCTCTAGTTTATATTTTATACTTCCAATTTTTTCTATAATGACATGTTTCTTTGATAGAAATAAGTTGGATAGGTTTAACAATTTGACTGCAGTCAGGATAGGGTTTGGAGTTAGGAAAGAATGAAGACTAGATTAGGTTTAGACATTAGTTATAATAACTGGGTCTTTTAGCCCTTAGAGGGGGTTACTATCAAGGATGTTATAAAGTGTCTCAGAGAGTACAGGGGACAGGTGGGGACTTTTGCAGTGGCCCAGCCAGTCAGTATGGACTCTATCATATGCTTGAATGGCTGGCTTTACTGATGGGTCGTCGGAGTAGGGGTGCCTCCTATCCACAGGGACTGCTCTTTTGAGTAAAGGACTCCTGGTGTGAGGGTACCTGTGCATGTGCCCACTGTACTTTAGGACAGAGAGCAGGGTGGGGCACCAACTCCACTTTCCTCTCCTACCTGTAGCTTGAATGCACCTTCCCCAGTCCTTCTTCCCATTTAGCTCTTGTCTGGCCTGATTCCTTCCTAGTCTTTCATCTTCATATCTCAAGAAGACTCCAGGCCCTTCTCTGCACAAAGCCCTGGGCAGTCCTCAGCCCAGATCTCTGGCTGAGTCCCTTCCAGAACCCTATGAGTTAGTTCTGGAGATTTTGGAGATTGAAGACCTGCTGAGAGGGACAGTGGCCCTTCCGTCTTGAGGTAGCTTTCAGGATGACGAATCTGGCCTTGCTTGAAGTTATTGGCAATGCCAAAGTTCCACTGACGTAGGAATTGCCTCAACGGCCAGAGTTCTGGGACTGGGCTGCCCCGGTGGCAGAGAAGTGGTGAGAAGCCCTGGGCCTGTTTCTTCCTCCCTTCTTGGGCCTTGAGGGACATCCCTGTGGGGACCAGCTCCCTATACAAGGACAGCAGGGGGAGAAGCCTTTGGATAAACAAGAGCTAAGTCATCTGGGCAGAAAAACGGCTCATGAAATTAAACAGACAGGGCCGGTGTTTCCAGGAATATTTCAGTTCTGAGGTAACTCTGTCACTGCAGGCTGGGGGCTGGGGGGACAGGGGAGAACAGAAGGAGCTGACTGACCAGGCCAGAGAGAAGTAGAAAAGAAGGAAGGAGTCTCAGGAATCAGGAGGCCTGGAGAGGAGAAAGGCAGGTGAAGTTCAGGGTTCTGCCTCCTACTGTGACACCTTGCACACTGGGCAAGATGTGCCCATATCTCAGGCAGCAAAGCAGAAAATTGCCTGACGCAGAGAATACCTGAGTTCATTGTGAATACTGGAGCCCAGAGCAGCTCCGGCTCCCCTGTGTTCCTGGGTGGCAGTATCCAATGAGTCTCTGGAGCCCCCACCTACCCTCCTCTCTGGCTCAGAGTGTACAGGTGAACCCCACCATGGGGCCATATCTTGGCCCCCTCCCCCAGTCCTACCCCCACTGCCGGCCTCTGCTCTGCCTCTGGCTGCTGCCCACTGATTGTTTACATCCCGTCTTCTCCTTGTGTTTATAAATCCGGCTGAGCACGTGAGGAGCTAATGAGTGCAGCTCACGTTTCCTGCTGCAGCCCCCCCATCCTGGCCCCCTCCGGGGCCAGCCCCTAATTCCATCCAGATCCCTGGGCCCTGGGAACGAGGCCCCCCTCATGAACACACACACTGTCAGCCCACGCAAGCGCAGGGCCATCCCGACACACTGCACAGGCACACCACAGTGTACTTGTATTCAGCCAGCTGTCCCTCGCTCCCTGGCTTATGCCCCAGGCTAACAGTACTTAGTGGCAGGGATGTCCAGGGTGGTTGGGTGGAGACTGCACCTGGAATTGGTGAATAAGAGCTGTAAGCTCTAAACGTTGATGTCGGGAGGCTTTGGAGAGTTCCAGAACTCTACATGAGGAAAGGCCCTGTCCTCATGCCAGACCAGAAACAAAACTGAGTGATCTTGGGGGGGGGTCTGTTTTGGGAAATGGGGGCGGGGGAAGGGGTAGAGTAGCCTAGGAGGTAGTGTGTACACAGTGGCGTGAGATCCATGCACAGGACTAGGAAACTGCCCTGGAGGCTGCCTCCTGACCTGCCTGCACAGGGCAAAGCCCACAGAAACCTAGCTTTCTCCATCTTCTGAGCTGGCTGCCCTCTTCCTGGTTCCCTTTCTCCTGGGCCGCTGAGAAGTGGCAGGGTGAGTGAGGACACAGGGGTCTGGAACTCAGGAGACCTAGCTTTGCCATGAACCATCTGGTGACCATAGGCTTGCACAAGGATGTGGCACTGTGCATGCTAAAGGTCCTCCCAGCTGGAACATGGGGCTCCATCTCTGCTGTCCTCTCCAACATCCCCTCGTGTCCTTCTCTTCCAGTCCAAATGACAGAAAAAGCCAAGGTCCAGGGAAAGAAACAGGGCGGGCAGGCTGCTGCCTTTTGAAGTAAGGCACCAAGACAGGAACTGGGCTTTGGTTGGAGGGAGAGGCTACCTGACTGCCGCAAGAGGGCCCTGGGTGTGCTCAGGGAGAGTCAGAGTGAAGTGTGTGTGTGTGTGTGTGTGGGGGGGGGGGGCTGAGAAGCCAGCTGAAACCAGAGGGGGAAGAAGTGAAGCAAATAGTCCAGGGCAAGTGTGTGGGTGAGCTGGAAAGGGTGTTGTTATCAAGAGGGTGCAGGAGGGTTTGGGAGGGGCCAGAGAGCAGCAGGAGCCAGGGTGTGAACCAGCAGGTGGGATTGTGGGCAGGAATGTGAAGTGTCAGGAATCAGTAGCTGGTAGTGTAGGGGTAGTGTACACCAGTGTGAATGGGACAGGAGTGCACGTCTGTGGTGGAGGGGAGGAGATATTGCTCCAGTTAGTAGACATTTCTGGGCTGCCCAGTGACAGTTGCTGCCATCTCTTGCCAGTTTCCTCCTCTGGCTGAATGTGTGGCTCCAGGGCAGCCAGTGTATCTGGTCTGTTAGAATATGAACCTGTGTCCCATCGGAGGGGCATTGAAAGCCCAGAGATGTCCCTGGATCAGAGTCCCAGGGAGAGGTGTCCCCTGCTCTCACCCTCAGCCTCTCTCTAAGGCTCAGACTTCCCCTGCCATGCCCCCACCGCCTGTCTCCCCTTCCTCTACTGGCAGCCCCTTCCCAATCCTGGGCCCTGAACAGGACACAGGAGGTCCTCTGGGATTGGAGATCTGTAGGGAGGACTCCTGGAGCTCAGTATGGAGCTGCTGGAAAAGAATGCAGGAGGGTAGAAATGAGGGGACTCTGGCAAGGCCATGCAAACCTAGGATTTGCTTCGAGGGGCAGGGCCAGGGAACTGTGCGGCGGTGGCCGCTCGCTGGCCCTCCCTCCTCGGGGGTGACCTCTCCTTCCCGGACCCCTCCCGGAGGCGGTGGTGCCTTCCCCTTGTGTGGCCCCGGCGCCCCCGGCCCCGCCCCCTGCCCGCTCCCGCCCGGTGGCTCTCCACCCGGCGGCGGGGGCGGGGGCGGGGTCCCGGGCGCCCGGCTCCGGGGCTCGGCCCCGGCCGCTGCCCTTTCCCGCGCGTCAACTCCCTGCCCTGCCCGCTCTCCTTCCGCCGGCCGCCGGGCGAGCGGCCGCTGCCGACAGAGCCCGTGGCTGCCGGACCGGTGACGGACTTTTTCCTGCTGGGTCCAGCCGGGCTGCGCCCGCCCCCCCCCCCCCCGCAGTAATCACTCCCAGGCCGGCGGGCCGAGGCTCGCTGCCGCCAGCCAACCAGCCGCCTGGCCCCTACCTGCCGCCGGCTCCGGGGCCGTGGGCAGCGTGGAGGGCTGCGGCCGCGCAGCGCGCAGCAAGGAAGCCGCGAATCCCGCGGCCCGGCCCGCTCGGCCCGGCCCAGCCAGGCTTGCTCTGCCCTCCGCCCTCCGCTCCTCTCGCCCGCCCGCCTTCCCTCCCGCCCGCCTTCCCCTCCCGGCGGTCCGGGGAGGGAGAGCGGCCCGGCCCGAGGTGTCGGCCTCCCCTCGCCTCCCGCCGGCCCGGCCTCGAGCTCCCCTGCCTCGCCCTCCCTCTTCCTCTCCCCGGCCCCCTCCCCTCGCGCCGCGTCTCCCCCCGCAGCCTCGCTGCTCGCCTCGGACTCGCTCGCCCCGACTTTTGCGCGGGGCTCTCGGTCCGCGGGTTCCGTGGGACCCCGCCTCTCTGGGGCTCCAGGTTACCGCCTCCCCAGGTCTGCGGGTCGTCCGGGCTCCCCGTCGCGCTCCCCGCCACCTCCTGCCCGGCCGACCGGACTCCAGGAATGCCGCGTCCCCGCCCGGCCCCTCTCGAGGGCGCCCAGCCGTGCCTCCCCCGGCCCGAGCCCTGCTCCCCGGCCGGGCCCCGGCGTGGGGCTCCCGGGGGGCGGGAGGAGGACGGGAACCGGATCTCGCGGCGGCGGGGCGGGGGCGGGGGCCGGGGCCTCGGACGCCTGGCTCCTACCTGCTCGGAGGTCCATGGGGCTGGGGGCCGGGCCGGCCGGGCGCGGCTCCTCTCCCTGAGGCTGGCGGAGTGGGAGGGCGAGCCGCGGCTCCGGCGAAGCTTTAATAATCCCATCCGCCAGGCCCACTCGCAGGTTTTTTTCGCTCGGTTTCGGATTTTTTTTTTTTTTTTTTCGGTGTGGGACATTCTGCAAACTTTTTTTTTTTTTTTTTCTGACGTGTAAAGCTGTAACCACAAATTGTAGCAGCCCTCCCCGGGGTGGGGGGAGGCGGGGGAGGAGGGAAGGGAGGGCTTCTGGGGCTCCTCTCCCTCCCACAACACTGAGGGGGGGTGAGGTGAGGCGAGGCTGCGGCGGTACCACCCTGGGCCTCCTGGGGGAGGGGGCTGGGAGGGCATCGGTCCGTCTGCAGACACCGAGAACCAGGGGCGGGAGCCTGTCTCGATGTGGGCTTCTCCCTCGGACTCCGCCTGGGGACGCCTGCCCCCTGCCTCCTGCCCTGTTTGGGTTCCCTGCGCCCACCCTACCTCTGCCTCCTCATCTCTAACTTTCCCTCCCCCTTCCCCTTGAGTAAATGCAATGACACATTCTCCCAAATGCCAGCGAACTGGCCTCAAAGCAAGTGATGGTGTTTTTCCTGCTGCCCTTTGTCTGGGCTGACCGCCCCCCTTGCCTATTGTCCCGCTGCTTGTCCCATTTCCAAAAGCTGGAGCTCTGTGAGGCGCCAGAGGCTGGGGCAGGTGACTAACCAGCTCACAATGCCCCCTGAGGGGGAGGAAGGGGGCAGGAGGGCCCACTGCCCAGCTTCTCTCTTTAGTTCACAAGGTTCTTCATTCTTCTTCCCAGTGACCAGGGAGAGGGCACATGGGTGGGGGATTTGTAATTCATTAATCAGCACGAGGCACCGGACCAGTTTCAACACCAGAGGCTTCGCTGGTGACTCAGCGAGAATGCGAAGATCCAAGGCCACGGACAGAGCGAGCATCCCGATTGTAAAACACTTCCCCATTGAGACATTTGGCACCCTCCTTCCTTTGGGGTTTTGGGTTCTTGGTTTTTCCGGTGGTGAGGTAGGTTTGGCTGGGGAGTGCTCTCCCTCCTTCCTCCCCTCCGGTCTGGGTTGGGACTTTGCTGGGCTGGAGACCTCGGGGACCCATAAGACCAAACCCTCCCAAGAGGGTCTCTCTTCCTCCCCCTTCCTCCCTCTCCAAACTGTTGCCAGGAAGAGTGACCTTGTGCAGAGGAAACAGCTGTCATCTGGGGCTTGTACACAGCCCCACTTTGTGATTTGTCTTGGGGGACAGTCATTGGGTCCTCAAGCCTTGGGTGTCCTAGAAGCAGCATACCACCAATTAAATCATTTGGTAATAAGTTGCTCTGTTGTACCTGTTGTTTCAAAGGGGGAGAGGCGGATGGCAGCAGACCTGGAAGGTAATGCTCCCTCTGGAGTGACACCATACCTTCATCCCCTACTCCTGCCTATGCCCCTAAGAGGGTACTCTGCCAGTCCACCACAGCCCCTCCAGCCTGTGGGTCAGAGTAGGCATCATGGTCATGGCCAGTTCCCAGGACAGCTCTTCTCTTTTCTGTACTGGAGAACTGGGTGGGGGGGTGGGGGGGTGGGGAAGAAGTTTGTTTTCAATTACCTCACTGGAGTGGGACAGACTTTGTTGTTGGGTTGTTCTCTTTTTTTCCCCCTCTCTCTCTCTTTCTCTCCTTTCTTTCATTCTCTCTTCCTCTTTTTTTTTTTTTTTTTTCCTAAACAAGGAGAAAAAGAGCTGAGAATAGAGAGCTGGCCTGGGGTGGGGGTAGGGGACTTTCTGGAGCATTGGTAGCAGCTCTGATGAAAAGCGCCTTGGAGGGGCCCTTGTGAAAGTGCTCAAGGCCTCCTCCCCCACCTTCTCCCCACCCCCAGCAGCCAGGACTCTGGAGTTTCAATGACATTCTTGGCCTAGGAGCCCAACAAATCTTTTGATGCCCATGCCCAAGGTCAAGAAGGCATATGCCCACCGGTGACTGGTTCCCAGGCTGCAGGGAGGTCCCCCGAGAGAGGGAGCTAAGTAGGAAAGGGGAGAGGGCGAGGGTGACCAGGAGCAGCTTGGGCCCGCTCCCCTCCGCTGAGCAACTCCACAGCTTGCCCCTGGTGGAGAGGCTGTGCAGACAATGTGGTTTGGATTTGGCTGAGCCCCCTCAGCACCTTATAAAGCACCTTGCTGAGTCAGGGGGAAAGCAGCCCCGATGCAGACAAGAGGAGGGGGCTGGGAGAGAGAAGGAACAGGGGCTGGGGAAAAGGGGGGCTGAAGGAAGAGGAGGGAGAAATGAGAAGGGACCGAAAAGGGAAGAGGATGCACAAAGAGGCAAACAGTGGGAGTGAGAAAAGGGGGAAGAGGCCGGAGCTGAAGGAGCAAGATGGGGAGACATTGGTGAGGAAGAAGAAGGACTCCACAGTAGAGATGGGGGACAGCCACGATGCTGCCCCGCCCTGCCATAAGAAATGTCCACCTTACAAGTCTCCAAGGCATGGATTTGCAGGAACTGAGGGCAGCAGCTCAGAGCCTAGTGGGGGCAAGTTAATCTGCTTTCCAGGCAGCCCTCAGGGCCCCCCCGATTTGCCTTTGATTCTTAACATAGTGACCCACAAACTGGGAAAGTCATGTTTTCCCTCTGCCTCTTGTCCAGACTTGCCGCCCTGCCCTCTCCCCTCACCCAGTGGGGGCTAAGCCTCTCCCCTCCCCCTCTCCCACACTGCCAAAGGGAAAATCAACTCCATCTCCAAGCCGCCAGTGCCCCTCTGCCATGTCTGGGCAAAGGCAGCAGGCTAGGAGCTGCCAGTTGGGGTGGGGGTGGGGGCTGGAGCAAAAGCTGTGCCTCACTCTGCCAAGTCGACAATGGGGGTGGGCTGCTGAGATTTGGGGTAGAAGAAGGAAAGTGGGGCAGGAGTAGCCCCTGCAGGGTTTCTGTGGGACAGAGTGGAACAGGTGACTGTTCCAGCTGGGGGCTCAGGAAAGCTCCTGCTCCCCAGTGATTCTCAAATAGAACCTTGTTAGGGCCCTTCCAGCTCCAACAGCCCCGGAGCAAGGGTGAGGATAAGAGTGGAGGTTGGAGGAGACATCATCCCCAACTTCCAAATGAGCATCCTCAGAAGGAGAAAAGTCCCATCTGTGCTGTGGGATGTTGTTCCAGTGCTAAGTCCTAAAAAGACAGAGAAAGGACAAGGAACATCCACACCTGCCTTCAAGAATTTCAGTCTTGGGCCAGCAATCAGCCACAGGTGGTAGTGGGCGTCTTTAGGGCCAAGGAGGACAATGCAGATAACTTCCAGAAAAGGGGAACTTCCGGGTAAAAATTGCAGTGGCCTCATTAGGGAGAGTCACACCAGGCACGGCCATATGGCTCCCTGCAGCTGGATAGGGCCAAGCTAGGAGTCAGGATACCTGGCTTTTAATTGGCCAGTGTGGACAAGCCTGTCACCTCTCTAGGATGGGGTATGACCACCTCTGTCCTCCTTTCCACAGGATGGTGGGAGTTTTCAGTGATGACGGGAACACTGGTTTGCCAGCTCCTTTGACCTTCCACAGGAGGGTGGCAAGTCAGGCACCAAGAGGTGTGGCTGAGTGGGGGTGGGCAGAGCTGGCACAAGGTAATGATTGAGCTGTCCTCCAAGGAGTGTAGGTGAGTCAATGTCGCCTCAGAAACTGGCTAGTGTCCCACCCCTCCCATACTCCCACTTTCTCTCCCTTCCCCCATAACTGGCATCCTCAGGGAAGACTCCAGGTGCCCCACAACACCATGTCCTGCCCAGCCATGGAATTGGTTTTGAAGGGGCCCTGGCCTGAGAGGGTCCAGATTCCTGAACTAGGGAAGCCTCTCCTGACAGGTGAGCAGAGGGTGGGGTCAGACAATCCCACAGAATAGTCACTAATTCACCACTAATTCACTCATTCCTTCCTCAGACATTCCCTGAGTGCCTCCTCCCCCAGGTGCTGAACACAGAGGAGCCCCAGGGGCCATGGAGTGGCAGGGTGGAGACTGACCCAGGCAGGGCATAGCAGGAGCAGTAGGAGCTGA